AAGTAAAAAAGGGAACATAAAACTAGTGCAACATTTGACACTGTTTTTTGATAGACTGGTTCAATGGATGTAGTAACAATTCTCAAGGTGCTCATCAGATATTTTGGTTGTAATTTTGCCCTTCTTGTGCTTCATGCTTGAAAATAGATGCTCACAAATATAGGTGCTGCCAAAACTAATGACAATGATAAGGCTTAATTGTAAAGAGTGGGAAATTCTTTAAGAAGTTAAAATTTATAAAAGTCCAGTAAAGAGACACTGCCAAAGTTTTCACAAAGTGTAAATACACTTCTACCAAAATTTGAAGGAAAAAAAAAAAAAAACATTTTTAAGTTTACAGTTTTGTGTTGGAGCACCGGTTGGATACCCCTACTTTAGTCTCTTGAATAACAGGTCAATTAAAAAATAACTTTGGAAGACGGGGTGAATCAGTAATTATTAATATGTTGTTAAACATATTTTTAAATGTAAGCCATAGTAGTAGTAGAATTACAGCTAAAACCTAACTAATCTTAAAAATGCTCCCTTCCCCTTCCCAACACCTATGCTGACTAACTTATGTAAGAAAGATGCTAACTAACCTGTGTAAGAAAGACCCAATTTCAGCCCACTCCAAACCGATCCTTTGATCCAGCTCCTGTGTCAGACAGCAGCTACTGCAGGGAGAAGGAACAAATGGGCCATAGTAAGCCTATGGGTGACATCACCGCTCCCAGGCAGCACCAATTATTGTCAACCACATTTGTCTCCCCTGCAGCAACTACTGGCTTACACAGGGGAGAGCATGTGACCACACTGCAGCAGTCTCAAAATAGGCAAATATATATATTACTTACACAATTTAGTCAGAATAGATATTAGGAGGGAGGAGGTGACATTTTGCAAGACAAGCTGTGTTTATCCTGGAACCAACTAAATTTATGCGCTGACAAGGAAAATGCTCATAGGAAGAGTGGCAGAGAGATGAGCTAATAACTGTGCTGCTTCTCTTTTCACTGTCCAGTCACTGGCTGATGGCAGAGGATGACCTGGGAACGGGAAGGGAATTAAATTTTGCTGGCCAACAGATTGAGGACATACACCAATCAGCCATAACATTTTGACCACTGACAGGTAACGGGAACAACATTGATTATCTCATTACAATAGCATCCAAAAGTGGGTGGGATATAGTAGACCGTAATGGACCATGTTATCCCTGAAGAGAACGTGTTGAAAGTAGTCTAGGAAGTAGTAGAAACATAGGAATTGCGCAACTTTGACAAGGGCCAAATTTAATGTCCAAGGAAGGACAGAGGCATGTGTGGCTAAGACTCATTGATGCAAAGGCTGGCCCATGTAGACCAATCCAATAAAAAAAGCTACTTTAGCAATTGATTTAAACAAGGAAAAAAAAGCTACTGTAGTTCAAATTGCTGAAAAAAAATAAATGCTGGTTTCAATAGAACAGTGTCAGCGTGCACACATCACATTGAGCATGGGGCTGTGCATCTCAAAACAGTTCAGGGTGGTCATCCTGTGTTCACAGCCAAAAGTGCCTACAGTGTGCATGTGAACTGAACCACAGAGCAATGGAAGGTGGCCTAATCCGATAAATTCAAGAATTGTTTGAGGAACATAACAATGAGTTCAAGGTGTTGACCCGGCCTCCAGATCTCAATCAAATTAGAAAACACTGGAAAACAAAGTCTGATCCATGGAGGTTCCACCTCAGGACTTTGAGATCAAGCTGACAGTAGCAGATCCTCTAATACCACAGCATACCTTCAGAGGTCTGGTGGAGTGCTTGCCTCGACAGGTTATAGTGGGTAGTCATAATGATGTGGCTAATCAATGAAAAGGGAGAGAAAAAAAAAAACATACTGCAGGAAATCTCTGGACTGAAGCTGACTATTGCAGCAAAAACGTAATTCATCTTAAAAAGAGAAGTATGGTATTTCCTTTTTTTTTTTAAATTAAAAATCATACTTCCCTAGGTGGATGCAGCATCTGTCCCCCAACGGCTCTAAGGGTGAGAACTTTGAGTAGACAGCGGTGACAGTCAGTCACCGCTGTCTGCTCTACCCCCAACCCCCACGCTCACAGGAGCGCTGGGCTGTGGAGGCTGGCTCAGGCTCTCAGCAGATCGCTGAGAGGCTGAGCCAGGTGCCACACCTGACTCTGGGGTGGATCCTGATTTTTGGGATCTTTTCCCAGCCTGGATCGGCTGAGTGATGTCAGCTGACGAGTCACAGGAGTGCAGAATGAACTGCAGCCCTGTGATTCACAGAAGTACAGCCAAAATAGCTTTGGCTGTACATCTCCTTTAACTGGCTATTCATTTTTATTTTTGGCTTGAGGTTTGCTTTAAATGTAAAGAATAAAAACTCTTGAAAGGTAAATTTTGTTGAGAGCAATGTGAACCAGACAGGTTTTATAACACTTTTATTTATTTAAAATATATACACGGTCCTATGAAACGTATAGCTTTCCCACACACTAATGATCAGACTCTTTCATTCAACATAACACTGGTAAAAATGGATTGGAAACCTTCCATGTATTATGCTGAGTAATTGGTTGGCAGCCAATTTGATACTTGTATTTGGAGAGTGGTTTCATGTGGCACTGGATGGAAACAAAATCACCAAATGTATAACCCATCATACTCACAATTTAAGACACAGGACAATTTTGGTAAACTTTTTTAAGTTTGTCTAACATAATGGGGCAAACCTACATTCTCAGCATTATAAAGATATTGATTAGTAATAGAAACCATTTTACTTTATGAAGTCATTCATCATTTAGCTCCCAAGTTATATTTACAGGCATATTGAATAAGGGTCAGTGGCGATGTGAAAATTTATAAATCACTTAAAAAAAAAAAAAAAAAAAAAAAAATCCTGTCCGAGCAGGAATAGAATTGGCCTTTGGAACATGCTTGTTCTAGGTTTGTGACTCGCTAAAGTGAATCAGGATTAAAAAGGTGAAGTTCACCTTTCAGGGAAAAAATAAATAAATAAATGCACACATTTTTGCAGAAAATAAATGTACACTTTTTTTTCCCTCCAGGTGTCTGCAAAGCAGCACACCAGCAATCTGTGGATCACAGGTGCAAGGCCAGGCTCCTGCAGACATGTCTTCCAGCTTTTAGCTTGTACCTGCGTACACGTTTTCTGTTGGAATACTGGCACCAGTGTCAATGGACTACAAGAATGCTCACCAGGGACCTCGCAGTCCACTGAGAACTACAAATCCATCCTGTGGCGGTGATCAACAGGACTTGTAGTTTCTGTGTAGGTAGAGCCTCAGTGATTTTGAAAGCAACAGCTGCTGTAAGGGAGAATAACCCTCTTTCACTGTCACCAGCTCCCATACTCTATATTCTGACAGATTCCTGTCAGCTGCAATCCTCTCCCAAGAATTTTCCCACAATAGCAATTAGGTAAATCAAGATGGTGCTATATGGAAAGAAAAAGGACAGCAACCAGTTTGTTTCATTTTTGGTTAATCAAGAGGCCTTACTGAGCAAGCCTTACTCTGAACCAGGTGCAAGATGTCCCCTGACAAAAGTTTCGGTAGTGTACTTGACAGGTCGCCTACCCTTGAAATTTTTGTGACTGGTCCTCTTGGTTGTATATGAACTAAAAAAACACGAGGATAAGAGTTGCTGTGGGCTCTATCAAGGAAATAATAGCATACATTTTAAAAGGTAAATGCCATCATGTAGGAAACACAAAGGATGCCATCGTTGATCTTTCCTACCAAAAATTCCAGCTACTTGGCGTCAACACTTGAAGTGACTCACCCAAAACAAGTATGCAGATGAAGCTCATCAACTGCACAGGTTAGCGACTCAAAGGGTCATTAGCCAAGTAAATGGCATTTCTAGAAGGTTGTTCACCAATGACAACTTCCATATTCCTCTCAAGATTTGTTTAAGGGCCTAATTACACTTGAAGGTTTTGTGGCAGTAAAACTTTCACTTTTCCTGTATGTAAGTACATGCTAAGAAAAAATGTAGTTTGGTTCAAATCTATGTGCTGCAGTTCAGTGTGAAAGACAAAGAGGGATTCTATGAGGTCATTCCTACCTACGTGTGTGCACATTACCACAAGAACTGCATTCACACAGAACAGTATAAATCCAGCCCAAGAGACCACATTAATGGGTGCACTGCAAGGAACCCGGACTATCAGCAATGCAACTTTGTGGCAAGTTGCCATGCTGAAGAAACTCTCTTTTACTGTATTTCACAGCCAGTTCCCAATAAGAATGCCTGAATTTTTGTAAGAGCAATGATAACCAATATGTAGTGTTGGCATTTTATAAAACGAAATAGCACAGAAAATAACTGATCAAGCACACGTGCTAACCAGAATGTACCATATCCATATTGCTGTTACAAAGACCACAGACGTATTCCAGGTCTTTATAGCAGCAGAGTGTACCTCGCATCTGAAATAGCAATGCTGTGAGAGCAGAACATGAAAATATAAAACTTTTCTGTACAAACTGAACTGCTGCGTCACAAAATGTAAATAAGTATACATGACGAGGCATTGTCAAGTGTTATAACTTATCTTTTCACCCTTTTAAAAAGGAACAATGCATCTTAAAGACATCAAAACATAACAAATATTTAAAAAAAAAAATACACAGACCTATATATTAAAAAAAGTAACAAAGAAGATAGTTTAAAAAGTCCATTATTTATAAAGTACAAATGTCTGTATAGCATCAAGATGTCCCTTGTTGAAAAAATTATAGTGTTTTGCTCCTGGAACGAAAGGTATATTGTGTTTCTTTGTGAAGTGTTCACTCCTGACCAGTTCCAGGAAAAAACAAAACCTAATAGCTAAAAAATACTGGATATAAAAGTATTTTACAGGGAAAGGTTAAAAACGTAAGATTAACATATGATCCTAAGGCACTGTGCTGTGAAAGATTTATACAGGGGGAGGATGTCCATCTAGTCCATGCTGTGCGATATTTTTCGTGCTATTATCAAGCTGGTCTCAGACATAGGCACCGAGTGCTGAGTGGAATTCAGTTAGACATTGCACCAGCTGTTGAAACTTGGGTCTTTCTTCTGGGTCCAGAGCCCAACAACATGCCATAACTGCAAACCTGTGTGGTGACAAAGATTTGAAAGGTTAGAGTTACATCCATGATAATCATTACAACAGTAAGGTCAACAAGCAGAAAGGTTTGAGCTGCATCCACAAAAGTATTACTAACCACGACAACAGTGGGGTCAACCAGTGGTTGTCTGTGAACCCTAGTCAGGTGCTTAGCACCTACTGTGGGTAACCATGTCATGCATTACATAATTTAAAAGAGCCTACAGTGGGGGAAAAAGCTCCTAAAAGCGCCTACAGTGGGCATGTAAGCATTAGAACGGAACCACAGAGCAATGGAAGTAGATGGCCTGAGCCGATATAAATTCAAGAATTGTTTGAGGAACATAACAATAAGTTCAAGGTGTTGACCTGGCCCTCCAAATCACTGCTCCCAGGCAATGCCAACTATTGTCAACCACACTCTCCTCTCCCCTGCAGCCAATGCTGGCTGACACATAATTTACATCAGTCCATATTAAGTAAAATCCACTAAAATTAAATGGTTCACCTCTTAAACATATGCATGAGCCTGTGAAAACCACCTGCCAGGTGCTTGGATTCAAGAGCAATGTACCAATTTATGAGCAGGTAAATACATCATACTTACAGCTCATCAGGACAGTTGATTGGCTGAGCTATTCTGTAGCCGTCCTTAAGGTAAGCAGCCATTTCAAAAGGATCAATATCAACATAAGGAGTCTGGCCCAGTGTCATCAGCTCCCACAAGGTTACACCAAATGCCCACTGCAAAGAAACATGTATGGTTAGCATACAACAATGTGTCCTTTCTACATTCCCAAGTAACAGGTAATGGCAAAATGAATGGTGAAAACATAAAAAAGAAGGTCAGCAGAAAAGAAAAGGAATGGCAAACTTGCAATAGGTAAATATATAGTACCCAAACAAAATGACAAAGAAAATAGAGCAGCACCTGCAAATACAAAATATTCCAAGCTTAAAAACGTGTGCTATCCATACAATAATTGTACTGTGCGAAAAACTTCCGCAATGTTCAAAATGAATACTGAAGGTTCATGCTGAGCAATAGGCTGCTCTACTACCGCCACATTTTTTTCTTGACTATATCAAGCAAACCTTCTGACTGTCCCCAGTGGTGAGAAGAGGTACTACCATTTTCCCAGTGTCTCCATTGTGATGATGGAGCTGGTTGACCATGTGTGCAGGATTCTACTAATACAAACGTGCATGTTGTAGCTTCCCTCTAGCGGCTTTAGGCTCCATGCACACTGGGCGTTTTAAGAACGCTGGCAACGTTCGCTATGTAAAGTCATGTTAAAAACGTCAGGTTTTTCAGCGTTTTTGCATTAGCGTTTAGCTGCGTTTTTGGGTTTGTTTTTTTTTTTACCAAAAAAAATGTTTTCTCTAAAAAAAAGTCCAAAAACGCTGGTTTGTGTTTTACTGCATTTTTCAGCATTAGAGCATTTTTACAGCTAAAAAACTCCTCTAGAAACCCACTAGTTCTGGGGGGTTTTTCCAACCAAAAAATGCTGATTATAGTCTGTGTGTGCATGGCCACATAGGATTACATGCTGGGGAGTTTATTGGCTGTAGAAAAAAATGCCAAAAGCAGCAGCTGTAAAAACGTCCAGTGTGCATGAGGACTTCATGTTGGTGAGTGCACTTTAGTTCTGTTGCTCACGTGTAGTGGAGAAGATTCCAATTAGCCGGTGGAAAACATACTTTTTGTGGTGATATTTATCATACACTTTGGACTTATTCACTTTTGGACATTACTTACACTGGTATACTTTTCAGTATTAATTTTTAACATTGTGAATGGTTTTTGCAAACTATGAATATTGTATTCATAGCACGTTTTAAGCTTGTAATAGTTTGTATTTGGAGAAGCTGCACTATTTTTTTGTCAATGGTAAAATTAAAACATTTCACGTCACATTTTCACCAAATACAAAAACACAACAACTGGTAAGACTTTTGAAAGCAGGAGCTATGATAATAGTGCATCGGTGGTAAAAATCAAATAACTCAAAGCATTACAAAACCAGGAATCTGATTTGTATCGGGTGTACAACAAAAGCCAGTGCAGGACTGACTGGAAGGCAGGAGAGGCATTAGCGGAGTCAAAACATCCGTTATACAGCAGGAATGGTTTGGTGAAAGACTGAAAAGGAGGTGGTCACATCTCCAAATTTTAGGTAAAAGTGTATTGGAAAAAAGGAATTTTGACTAACCAGCAAATCCCATAACTTGGGAGTACATTACAGGACACAGGCTCAGTATTCTTAGACCCTGGGTTATAGGCCGATACCTTCAGGTGATTGGACACTGGCAAAGCTTCTGAAGACATGCCTCCTGGGCATCCCCTATAACCCTACCCTACTCTGTGAGTCCTCTGTTTTTGTGTTACTTCAAAATGCTTGCTAAAAAACAGGGGAGGATGGCCTGTGCTGTAAATCAAGATATGGAATTTTCAGGTAAGTCAAAATTTCTTAATCAACAGTACAAGGCACAGGCTCAAATATTCATACGCCCTAGGACATCACCAAGCAATGAAAGAGAAGGGTGGGCAACAAGGCAAACAGAACTGTGCCAACAGACCCAACAATAACAAGGACATAATTCACACAAAAACACATGTTCAGCTGTCAAACTCACTGAATATTGGATATAAAACAAACTAACAGAACACACTCTGTGCCATGCCTGGTGCTTTGATGGAGTCTGCTATGTTTGCTCAGGCTGTTGTGTGGAAAATCTGGTCAAGGTGCCAAGGGCCCAATTCAGACAGTTCAGATTCTCCTCTTCAAGTATCTGCAGTGGAGAAACTTCAGCCCCATGTACACGCTACACACTGTGTCCAGCAGCAGTGCAGTTAGATTTGTACCCTATACAACAAAATGGCTGGTACTGCTGCTATTTACATGTAACTGTTCATCCAAGCATTTACATATTAAGGGCTCAGACTGGCTCGGCTTGCAGACTTTGCTTTGGCTGCATGCTATTACCGGTGTCCCAAAATGTTACCCCTGAATGCAAACATTGCTGCTCTGTTCAGATACAGTGTTTAACCGCTTTTGTACACAGCAATCTATTCTAAATGAGGCCCAAATCTGCTGATGTTTGGAATCTGCAACTGCAAATCAACGATCACATGCTTGAGTTGAACAAATTGCAGTACAAAAAAATAATCACATTCTTTTGAAATGAAGTCAGATTTCTGGATCAACACATACGTAACAGCACTTGATTACGCACATAACTTGAACATAAAGGATACTGACTGTTCCTTTACCTTCTTGACTAACTCTCACCCACAGTTCAGGACTTACTCAATTTCCACTTAAAGTTACTGAAACCAAAGAAATGTCAAACATAAATCACACTTCAATTCACCAAACAATATGGAGTACTCCACAGGGATTGGGACTCAGAAAAGCCATGACCCTTTCCAGAGCCAGGTCAACTATTAGGACACTGGGCTGGGAACTAGTCTCTCAAGCACTGCTTCAATAGAAGGAAGTCTACGATTTCACAAGTCTTATAAAAACAGGACTTTTCAGCAATGTACTGGGCACAGGGGACTTGGTATCTCAAGAAGTCTTGAGATTTGATAAGCTTTGAATGGGTTTAATTGTGACAGTTTTCATATTGAATAATGCATTGTTTTTTTCTGTCCGTTATCTGCTTCACATTCTAAGTTACAAAAAGAATAGGTATTGTTTGTGTAAAGCTTACAAAGCACTGTATGGAATGGGAATATATTTCAAATAACCTTATATTGACTTATTTTACTTTGCAAGTCATGAAAAAACGCCAATCATGATCTGTATTTTTATGAACCCTGTAAAATCACTGCTAATTGTGAAAATGGTAACCGTCTACATCTTATGTGGATCTCAGCTCTGGGGTTGATTTACTAAAACTGATGCAGCTATGCATGGTAGCCAATCAGCTTCTAATAAAAAAAAAAAAAAAAGGAAAATCTCTGCAATGGGATACAGATAGCAAAAAAAAAAAACAAATGGACAGATCATAATGTTGCAATACTCTATACAAAATGAAAAGGTTTTGCCCTTACTTCTACAGGACAATATGTTGTGGAAGTGTGATACCATTATTCTCTTTAGTAATAGCTGCAGCAAACAGGCACACCGAGAAGTTCTGGTGGTAATAATTAGCCTCTGCAGCTTTGTAAGGGGCCCAAGGAAAACGTCATAGCCTTCAGGCTGGTTTTAGGGAATTGTAATTTCACATACACATTACAAAGCTTCCCATCATACCCATCATTACCAGAAAGATAGCCATAACATCTCTTCTAGTGATCGATTTAAGACTAAGGCGTTCTCAGCAGTGAATGAAATATTTTCCAGGCTGAGGCATTTGTTCTTTATCCAAACAAGCACACATCTTGTTCCAAACTCTCTGGGTAGAGTGAAAAATTTAACAGTACAAAGTGAAGTATAGATTCCAGTTAGAGGTCGTTCCATTTCTGTATGTATATAGGAAGAGTGGGCACCGACTATGTTATTCAGTTTCATCAACATGCCCATGTTGGGAAGCAGAATCTCGCTACAAGTAAAGTGTAAGCTTTACATAGGTCTACATAAAAGAGCTAACAAAAACCCTGCTACAAATCACCATTCAAGCTTCCGTGTGCTGGGAGCTGTTACAAGATTGCTCAATTCTGAGTAATGTTCGCATTAGGAAACTAGTTTCTATAAACTACACATAGGAAGAAAACTCATACTAGCGAGCAATACATCATGTTGTGTCAGTGTGTTTTCTCTACTTATGTTGGCGGATAAGTGCAATTAGAAAGACTGCAGGGTGCTTTGTGGAAACCTCTCTGTTTTATCTAGTAGGTACAACCTGTGGTACTACTGCTTAAAAGTGGAACTTTTGCTGCTTCACACTTCAGGCTGACCCTTTTGAAGGTATAGCTATCTACATCATTAAAAATACATGCCTATACTGTTTAACCACTTCTCGTCTAGCCCATGTACATAAACGGCTGACGGGAGCAGTGCAGGAGCGGGTGTGGCTGGTTATAAACAGCCTCCGCATTCACTGCCTGTGCGCGCTGCCTGGGAGAGCGCAGCACCGTGATCCGGTGCCCGCTGTGTCCGGAGGGCACAGCAGCACACCGATCGCTGTACGGGACCTCTGTGTGAGGTCTTGATTGATGTGATCACTGACTGACCAATCAGTGATCACAGGAATAGTAGTAAACAAGATGTCACGTCCTGACATCATTGCTTACTACTTGTGAAATCTGTGAATGATCACAGAGGTCACATGGTACAAGGCTATTCACAACAGCCTTGTACCATGTGACAAGGTGTGACCAATCACAGCTCTCACAGTATTTCTCAATGGCTACAAGAATGCAGCCAGAGAGAGGAGAAATTATTGCTTTTTCAGCCTTTATGGGTGTAAAAGCAATCCGTGTAAAAAAAAGAGAAAAAAAAATCTTCATCACCCCTCCACAAGTAGTAGAATGTCACTATGGTGACACTGTACTGCTACGGTGATGGTATGTTAAAAAACAACAAAAAAAAAACATAAATAACAACATGAAAAATAAAAAACAAATCAAAACTTTTTGAAAAAATTATACATTTTTGGTTATAAACTAATTTGGGTTATTTTTTTTTTTTACTAAAAAAGATAGATGAATACATTTTGGCCAAGATTTATGAAGAAAGATTATTTATTTTCAAATTTTATAGGAAAAACACTTTTCAAAATGTTTGGACTTTTTCATTTATATAGCAAAAAAAAAAAAAAATCCCAGTGCTGAATAAATACAACCAAAATAAAATGTTATCTGTCTCAAAAAAATGCTAAAATATTCATATGGGTACAATGTTACATGACTGTGCAATTGGCATTCAAAGTGTGATAGCACTGAGAGCTGAAAATTGGCCTGGACAGGAAGGGGGTGAAAGGGTCCAGACTTGAAGTGGTTAAAACCCAGCAATACACTGTCTCACCCTGCTCTGCACATGCTCAGTTGCTCTCAGCAAAATGGCAGCCCCTGGCAACAAGAAACAGGAACACTGGAGGAGGCAATTTACAGCAAACACTAATTTTGGTAGCAAAAGCAATGTGGAATGTGAAATCAAAATCTCATGCCTACAATGTTACTTTCCTAATAAAACCTGTATTAGTGTTATGAGAGGAATTGTAGTTTATGATTGACATTTGCCTTTAACAAGGGAATACAAGCTATGCTACCATAAAGTAACATACTTCAATGGTTTATCACCATGTTAAAATTCAGCAGAAATAAAAATGCACCATAATATCAGCAGGAAGGAACTCACAGTTCTGATAACCTGTTTCATGAAAAGGTCAGCGACTAGCCCATTCTTCTTCACTTTGAGACAAACAGCCAGGTGCTGAGTCAAACTGTTTAGTCCTAATTACAACCATGCTGAAAAGCAGTTTCTAGTTCTTGGCATTTATATTATCATGACTAACTGGAAAGTACTGTGTGCACATTGCCAAAGACATAGAAGGATCTACGACTACTTATCCATTATAATTCAGGGTATTTCTTCTAATAAGTAGACCAATATTACATTACATTTGGCTGCTCTGGTGATGTACAGTGGTATAAAGAGTTGCATATATGGCTGTAATCCGGACAGAGCGCTGTTTAACCACTTGACAACCGGGATATAGCCGAATGACGTCCTCCCAGAATGCACCCTCCCGCACACCCTTGGCGATCTCCGTGATTGCGGTGTCCTATGGACACAGCTGATAACACGATATGGTAAAAGGCTAATCACAACGGCCTTTTACCACGTGATCAGCCGTGTCCAAATCACACAGCATATCACCGTAAATGCAGTTGCTGGTTATCAGCTGCACTTTCCTCATGCTTGCACAGCGTGAGGAAAGTACTGCCGATAAACGGCAATTGTCAGAGGACAGATCGGCACCGATCATCAGGGCACTGATGATCAGTATTCAGCAGTGCCGCCCACCTGTGCCCAGCAGCAACGCCCACAAGTGTCAAGCAGTGCCGCCCACAAGTGCCACCCATCAGTGCCTAGTAGTGTCACCCACCTGTGCACAGCAGTGCCATCAGTCAGTGCCCATCATTGTTGCATATCAGTGCAGCATCATCAGTGCCGCCTACCAGTGCCCATCAGTGATGCCTCAACAACGCACATCAGTGAAGGAGAGAAATTACCCGTTTGCAAAATTTTATAATAGAAACATAGAAAAACTTTTTTCCTTTCAAATGTTTTGCTCTTTTTTTGTTTATAGTGCAAAAGGTAAATCACCCAGCGGCGATTAAATGCCACCAAAAGAAAGCTCCATTTGTGTGAAAATGTTTTAAAAAAAGTTTCATATGGGTAGTGTTTCAGGACAGTGTAATTGTCATTCAAAATGTGACAGCGCTGAAAGCTGAACATTGGCCTGGGTACAAAGGGGCAATAAGTGCCCAGTAGGCAAGTGGTTAAAGCAGAAATCCAGGTTCTAATAAAATGTTAATGATAAACTGCTTGGCACTTGTACATAAAAAGACAGCTTTTTCTGAAATACAATTAATCTGGGAGCTGCAATGCAATCTGTGTCAATTCTGTGTGTGTGTTCGTGTATTGTAGCGGACTGCATTTGCTGGGGTAGCAATGTTCTAAAACAATTTTGAAAATTATGGGAAGATTATTTCTCTAAGCCACTGAACCTACTCTAGCAAAACCTACCATTTCATTACCAGATTTCAATCATACCCACTGTCTCATTGTGCAGCCTTCTACAGTCCATACAAAGATTTGGGCCGGCTTCACATCTCTTGGGTATGCTGTGTTAAGGTACTGCACTCATTTTGAATGGGCTGCCAATGGACCCCAGTGTGGTTAAAACTGAACCAGACCCCTTTTTTCAGGGATGCAACACACAGTAGTTAGTTACCGTACTACAGATGTGACCCTGGCCTTCATATCAGACCTATTTCTGAAAAAAGCATTATATTTAGTCTAGATTAGCTAAACAAACTAAACAATATATAACATTTACCACAAAAGGCAGGACTCACCACATCACCAGCACTCGAGAACTCCTTGTTAACCAAACTCTCAAGAGACATCCATCGTACCGGACGGTTTTCATTGTCTCCAAGACAATGGTAATCCATAGGGAAGAGATCACGGGATAGTGCGTTATCTGTAATCTTCACTTGAAGAGACTCATCAATCCTGAAAAAATTGGCAAAGCAAGTCAAAGTATATATTACATAAAACAGAGTTTTAGGAAAGCATATGATTCTTGAAATGGAAGTCTAGATGGCAGAATTTCTACATATGGGGCGAGATGTGTCATGCCCTCTACTCGGTCATTTAGTGGACTTAAGGATAATTAACATAAGGATTTAAAATGTTCATACAATAAATTGTGTGGATATTCACTTACGTTATCCAATCATGTGCAGATAGTAGATGTAAGCCCGGATTTTCTTTTCACAAGATTAGACAATTTAAGTGAAAACTTCACACATTTTACTGTGTGAACATTCTCAAATCCTGTATTAAACCAGCCTCAGTCATCAAAGTGTAATTTGAATTCTTGCTATGCAGGCCTGTATAGCACATCAGGGAACCAGCAATTTGAAATTATAGAGTACCAGGCTACCATGAAATAACTGCATGAAAATATTCATATTTACCAAAAGGTCTGGGATATGCTTTAGACAAGCTTGTGTTACTGCTATTCACATTGCAATGTCAGCCCTTTCCTACATTAGACCTTTGATTTTGTTATGTCAGAAGCAGGTTGTAGTAATGTTTCCTTTGGGGCTAGCAGGACTAATTGCTAAAAGAAAAAGCTTTGCTTTAAAAGGGAACCTGTGTGGACAGAAATATGGAAACTGCCACTGCAAATTTCCAGTAAGGGTACAGGCTCTGGGCTCTCATCCTTGCCCTGGCTTCAAAATCTAATGAGTCACTGAGTTGAGACAATTTATGTAGGGTGGAAGTTTAGACTTACTGACTGCATGCTTATAACTTTTCAGTGATTTATTAGTCAGCAAAGCCAGGCCCAGGATCAAAGCTCCACAGCCTGCAACTTTAGGAGGCCGTCATTGCTTACCTACCTTTAGGAAATGATAATTGTTTGTCTCTGACTTTGAATCACTGATTTAAAACAAGCATGTAGCAGCTAAAGGCAGAATGAAGTGAGACATCCTCACCTCCACACCAGTTGTAGGCCAGTGCCTCAAAATACTGACAACTAGTATTTCAAGGAGAAGGGGCCAGCAATGGAAACCTCTATAGTCTTTTTATTCAGTGTTCTGAAAAAAGCAGTGGTAGTCTATACACACACACACTCATAGGCTTACATTAAACAGTTACAGTCTTTTGTATCTTCCGTGTACAACCTTGTTAGTATTAAATCAGCTATACAGTTTACGAATATTTCCGTCAAGAATTAGTTAACATGCGTAATACTCGGATCCTATTGCACACAATACTGCATGTTGAGCATACATGTTTTAATGACACGAGCACGAAGAGTCACTTACACACAATTCCTAGCAGCAAGGTCTTTATGGATAACTTCTCTTCTGGCCAAGTAACTCATCCCACAGGCTATTTGAATTGCCATATGCACAAGATCTTGCTGGGAAATAGCCTAATAGAAAGAGATTGAGAAACATACACTGCATCATGGAATTGGCTACATTCCTTCAAACAGGAGCACTACTGCTACAAATGCTATGACAGAAATTCACATATATGTAAATAAACCCCAACCAATAGCTAAATACACAACTGAAATCCATATATCTGAATCCCCCAAGACAGAAAGTATAAAACTTCCCAATTTTGTTGCCATTCCATGAGCAATTTTAAAGTGTGACATGTTAGGTATCTACCTAATTTTGTGCATTAAAATGAAAATGTATTTTTTCCACAAAAAATGCACTTGAAAAAACAGTGCAAATACCATGTGACATTAAAAAAATTGCAACACCTACAATTTTATTCTCTAGGTGCTCTGCTTAAAAAAATATATAATGTTTGGGTGTTCTGGGTAATTCTCTGGCAAAAAAAAGTGCAGATTTTACATTTAGCTCTGGGTCACACTGGGCTGGTTGCGGGTATCGCATCTGTTCCTGCACCTGCAGCCAAATCATGGTGCCATTCATTCTGAAGGAGCCCCCACGTATCTCAGCCCCTGGTGCATTTGCAGGAGCTTCAGGGAAATTGCATGGTCAAAAAGACCATGTGATTTCCCTTCGGCTGAATTTTTAAAGTGGTGCACCCCCTCAAACCCCTAACCCCCCACCCCCCTTTTTTTCTTTTAAACGGAAAATGCAGGCACAGCAGCCCATTCAAATAAATAGGCTGCCATTCCCACGCGTGCCACATGACCTGCAAGTGGTTATAAGATTCATCAACAAACTGGGTGTACAAGATACTTTTGCACATTATACAGCACTTAAGACTGACTCCTGAGGTTTTTGATGCCTGTGGAGAAAACCCATTATTTACCTGTAGCCATGTGGGTACTATATAGGTATTAAATATCAAGCCAAAGAATAGATTCTATACCCAGGTGTAGGACTTTTCAGACCTCTGTTTTGGGTTCAATGTATATCTCACTTAAGTGGTTACCAATTAGAAATCTTCAGGGCTCCTCTGATTTATCTTGATAGGCAATCAATTACATTTTTACAATTTTTTCCCCCCCTATAGTTAGAAATGAAAGGCGGAATCTAGCCAGGATTAAAGGATAGGATGAAGTGCTTATTTACACCAGCAAGCCCTGATGAAAGCATGACTGCTGGCGTGTGCTGGGAGGAAACTGAGTGGATATGCCTAATCTCACAATTCACTTTCCTGACATTTCATGCAGTTTTAATGCCAACAGAGCGGTGTGAGGTGGATCAAATCTCACCACGCTGTGCTTAAATAAAAAAAAAAGTACTGCATCCACTACTTTTCTTCAGTTCACACCAACGTAGAATAATAGTGTGAACTGGCCTCATAGGGAACAAGGCTTTTTACATAGTCTTCCCTGGGTTGCACCAGATGTGATCAATGCTCCATTCAGAGCTTTAACACACAAGCCCAAGACACTATTTTTGGCCATGTGACCAATTTTCATATTTCATTGGCCTCAACTAAAAATAATTCTTTTTTTTTAAATTTTTTAAATACTTATCCTTGTGTGTTAGGATTTGTGAATTGAGCGAATGTCATATTATGAACACATGCAGTTTCCTTTGACTGTGATGTTTAATAGCACCTGCAGTTGGAAGTATGCAATTAACACATCAGTTTCTGGCTGAAGGCAAGTCAGTCAGCTGCTGGCGTTGAAAATTTCACATCTAGATGGTACTGCATTCATGATTTAAAGTGTCTAGTTATACAACTAAAATACACCGCATAATGAAAGAACTTTTTTACTTAAAATGCCAGTTCACACCAGATGCAGTCCAGTGTGTTTTTTTTCTGCATCAAAAAAGCATGCACAGTGTTTGCCATGTATTCCAATGGCCCTAGTTCACACCAGTGCAGCCAGTTCTTGGTGCAGAAAAAAAAATAGAACGCTGTTTTTTCTGCACAGAAGTGTACTGGAACACAGGAAAACGTATCACAAAAGCACGGAAATGGAGAGTGGTGTGAACTGTAAGAAAAACGCACCTGGAATGAGTTCTGAGTGTTTTTTGTGGAGTGAACTGGCCCTAAAACAAAGTAAACATTTTTTTAAAAAACTTTGAAGACTTAATCGTACCACTGGAGGTATCATTTATAGTGAACCTGAACTCAATGTAAGATTTGCGGTCTAAGGGTGGTTTCACACTTCTGCGCTGCAGTTTGGGTGCAGCACAGTACCTGCGGTTTTCATGCAGGTTTCCAATAGACTATTAGATTGAAATAGTTTTTTTTTTGTTTTGTTTTCTAAAAGTGCACCAAAAGTCCTTCATGCTACTGCTTCTTTTTCAAATCTACTAGTTATCAGATCACAAGTCCTGGGGGATGCGGAGGGTGAGTGATAACATTAGGAAGCAAAGCCATGCTTCTCTACCAAGATGGCTCAGGTAAAAGAGCTGATTATTAGAGGACAAACAAGTTTAAGCACTTGGTGGAAGGACTTTGGAATATATTATGGTTTTACCTTATAATTGTAAAAATGAAGGCAGGTATCATCCAGTTGCTGCAAATGATATACTTTAATTCAGAAATAAGGACGATGTCACGCCAACAACTAACTTTCTTTCGGTAACTGCTTTGAATCCAATTGCTCTGGTGATATGTAGCTGGTCAAAGGAGTAGCTGCTTCTGCTGGTTGAAATGCTACATACAGGAGCTACAAATCGAGTGTGCAACATGATTACAAGGAGCTGCATTGGATTATATAGTAGCTACAAGAGATATGCTATAGCTACTTTCAATAAATTCACAAAGCCCATTACTCAGCTACTGATTTACACACTGCTTTTGTTACGGTCACAAAGGCCTTTACTTGACTGCAGTTTAATCTTTCCAATATACCAAGGAGAAGAACACCATAACTACTTCAAAATCAAATGGTAAGATACTTCAAAAACAACCCCCCCCCCCCCTCAAACTCCTATATATAAAAAAAACAACAAATTAAACAAACAACAAAAAAAAACCCCAAAAGAACCCAAAACACTGACCACATGGCAAACACTCCATTTTTAAAAAGGTTGCAAGGTTGCAGAAAAATTTAAAAATGTCATTGCAGAATGTAACATGGTAACAATTTCAGTAAACTCAGCAGACATTGATGATGGCAAGCAATTGCCTTTGCTGACAGCTGCAATGATTTTTCTTGGTGTGCATAGTGTGTGACGAGATAATGAAGAAAGCACATTCCATCGGAGCACACAAAATGACTGACTTGTACAGGCAGGCTCAAAGATTTAACTGCATAAAGGGAAAACTTTCACAGAGAACACCAAATATAAACCATAGAGGGCTAAAATTCTAACTATAAATGAGAAGAAATATTAAAGAAGTGTAGCCCCCTGCTAAACACAGATAAGGAAAATAAAAGCAAAATAAACCAAATGTATATGACAGGCACTTCCTTACCCAATTGCTTTACATATCAACTTCTATTGCTACAAAGAGAAGTTGTATGAGCTGATGTGCCAGCCCTCTGCCCCTCTACTTTTATGCACAAGCACATTAAAAATTAAGGCTTCGGCATTGAAGTGACAGGACCTGTGTCGATGAGCCTGGGTCGATGGCACAAGTTTGGCATCAAGCTGCTAAGACCATTAAGAATTTATTAACAGGTATATTTGACTACTTCATTATTTGCATTTGACATGCCTTAAAGCGGTAGTAAACCGCCAAAAAGAAAAAAAGAAAAAACTTATTTTAGAATGAAGCCCTCCAGCCGCAAGCTGTCACTGCTGACAAGGCTTCCATCTTCACCCAGTCTTTCTTCTGGGCTTGGGCCACTTGATTGGTCAAGCCACGATGATGTCACTCTTTTGCATGCACCCGGGAGTCTCGGCTGCTGCACAGAGCTCTGAAGGAATGGCACAGGAAGGCCGTTCCTTCAGAGCACATATGCCGGTTGCTGCATCGGCTGCAGGGTCACTGAATATCCCCTAACTGGTGCATGTTTAGGAGAGATTCCTTGTACCTACTGGTAAGCTGTATAAAAACTTACCTGTAGGTATAACTGTCCAGTGGGAGTTTACTTCTACTTTAAAGTGATATCCAATATCCAGTCATCTTTGTTTGCTGCCGTGATCTGACTTCCTGTTAAAGGGGGTCTGCGCCTGTTCTCCATGGTTCCACTGTATATAGGAACATAGTCAGCCTCCCTTGCTCACTCCTGAGATGGACTAAGAACTATGGGATTTGTAATGTGCATAGAACCACAACTAAGGTGCACTGCTCATTCCAAACAAACAAAAGTGGGGGGGGGGGGGGGGGGGGGGGGGAGAGGTTCAGGAGCTCACAGAGGATGTTACAAGGAAGCAGTAAAACTGGAGAGGAGACACCTAGTTTGGAAATCTTAGACTCCTTAAGAGCTATTAATATCACACACAGTAAGAAACAATTTCAGAAAAAAATAGATTACAGGACCATTAATTAGGGATGTGGATTATTTTAGAATAAGGATAACATTTAGTGTCACTTTAGGCAGATTTTACATTGCCATAAACTTGAATGGGAATTCAAAACCCGCTTAACCACTTAAAGGGGGCCCGTCGTACAGTAACATGTTCCGTGCTACACCCTGATAATGGGAGTAACATGTTACGAAAGGTGAACTTATCCTTTAGTGTACCATTCCACTATGTTGTGTCATGTGACTTTACTGTACATTCTTCTAGTCTTTTCAGATAAGCTGAAATCTCAGGAGGTAAAAGTGGTATTTTGCAGCAAGTTGGCAACTGAAAGTGGCAGGAAAAAAATCTTAAAATACTGAATTGTGTTATGACAAGGTTTGCATATATGAGCCCTACTGTTGAGGCTTACCTAAATACATGGCAGCTGCAGTAGCACTGCCTAGCCATTGCAATACCGTCTTCGTATGGCTCTTTATTCTGTTAAAACATCAGTGTATAATGTTAAGTGTACAGATCAGAGGCAAACTGGCTTGTCATTGGAAAATCTGCCATGGGTCAATTTGTA